AGACACTATACCCAAGTAAGTGACATCCAATCAGCACTACAAAAGGACTGACCGTCTCATAGACGCCCAAGCTAATTTGACATAAAAAGCGCAAAAATTACAAGCCTTTTTTCTGAATTCGGATAACATTGAGGACAATCATGGGTAAGTTTTACTATTATTTTAACAATTTGCCAAAATCAGTTCCTCAAAAGAGCGTCAGCAGGCCGACCTTTAAGCATTAAAAAGTATAGTAATTTATCGTATGCTTCAGAGTACACTATGCGAAATGTAGAAAAATAAACGCGGAATGCTAAAGGAAGATAGCTACTTTCTAGTGCTGAGTCAACCATGAGGAGAGAGTTATGAAACATGATACGACAAGTGCAACCCCGGAATAAGTGGAAGATATCGAACCAATTGGGGTGATGTAATATGTCCGGCGACATGAGAACGTTATCACCACCCCGAGGTAGAAAGCGAATTGTACAGGATTCCTCAAAGCAAGAGGCAAGAAGGTACAGCTGAGGAGAGGAATAGGATTAAACTTGCGATGATATCATAAATATACAAAAGCAAATCACCAACGCGAATGCTCTTGAATGTAGGATTAAACCAGTACATTTAAAAGTGGAAAAATAGCTTTTTAACTCAATAAAGTTCAAGCAGATGTAAATTTTTAAGATAGAAGGATTTTGAATATTTTAAGCCGTAGGTTAAAATAAAAGCATGATTCATTCTAGTTGGCAGATTTTTTGGTGTTAATCGTGTATTTTTGTACATATCCGGTGAGGATGTGGTCATTTACAAATTTGTTGTGCTTTGAATAAATGTAAGAGTCGTTGAATGACAACTCTCCTTAACATTTATGAGCAAAACAGACTCAAATAATCAATGTAAATGATGCCTCAGCAGCAACTGCTTTACGGTCAAAATTTATTCATTTTCCAAATCTATTCGACGACCCACTTTATAATTTCTCTTCGTGCTTCTGAACGTGGCAGCTTAAACACTGAATCCTCGCAATCAGTATGAGTCTATAGTCAGATATTAATACAAAGATGGGGCGGTGGCAGTCATCATCGTTCCAGATGAAGCACACACCCGTCACATCGACAACTCCAACCACCGTGTCTCCGCTGTTGCCAATGGAGCTATCAACTGCCCAACCGCATGAGGAAGAGAAAGGGTAGGAAAACAAATCGGATGTGGATGTGGAGTCAAAGCCAAAAGAAAAAAAGCTAAACACTCTGCCTACCGAAATGTCATAGCAAGTGACTCACTTCAGGCTCAAGTGGGTGGTATTCTAGTACAAGTTTTTCAGCATTTTGGGTAGGAAGGTTGACCAGATGGCAATTTAGATAAAAGGAGGAGGATAAATGAATCAATGACAAAAGTGAACGTAAAAGATGATATACTGAATGAAAGAAATAATAAAAATATAGCTTTTCGATTCTTGAAAAATGAATGGACAAATGGATAGATGGGCGAGTGAATGGAAGATGCATGGATGGATCCATGTGCATTACGACATCAAGCAGGAGAAAAAGGTATGGAAACTATTTGACATTAACCTTACTGATCCCAGTGGTAGATTAGGGCTTTGGATGAAATTTATTAATCACAGCAAAACCTTTTGGTGCAAACTGACTAGTTGATCAGGTAATGTATTACCAGTCACTTTGCAACACATTTTTCCATATATTGTAATGGATTTCCAAAGTATTTGCTAACAGCCAGCAAATATGTGCAAAGTTACAGTATATGCATAAATTATCGCAAGTAATTAGAGCAAACTGCTTTCATCTATATACTGCTAAATTTTAACAGTTGCTATTCAGGAGGTAGAAGTAGATATTTACATTAGCAATGCGATACGTTTACAATCTATTTTTCACAAAATCATTCACTAGCAAAATCATCTGAAATCCTACAAAACTCAATTTTCAGACACATTTTATATAGAACGACCAATTTTTAATGGTTTACAACTAGCTAATTCGATTATACCAACTTTCATATCCGAAGTACCATTCAATAAATTTCGGAACCATGAAGATTTAGTGTAGCGTCCCGGGACTCCCTGAAGACGAAAGAAGACAAAATACTCGGGCAGAATATACATATATATATATAGCATGGAGAAGGTGTCTGGGCTATTGGCATGGCCCAAAAGGCCAGCCTACCCAGCAAGGAACAAGGGGGCTAATTCCAAGTATAAAAGTAGCGCCTCACCAGAACCGAGGGACAAACCACTATCGTATTACATAATAAACACTTGCAATTCATTAACAATCTTAAAATCAAATATTTTTGGGCACCTTATTAATAAACATTAAAACCACGAGTAATCAGTACCCGAATTATGACCACAACTGTCTTTTATGATTGGCTATCATTTGACTAGTTGGATACAAATGCGAAAACCAAGGAAAACATAACGCTACATCGCAACCAGTCCACAAATTTTCAGAACAAGATAGAAGCAATATTTCACTCATATCACCCATGATGTCAATGTGCTTCCATTTGAGTCTATCAGTACTGTTTGTCTGATTGTCGCCCAATTACCCGCGAATCCACCTAGATTTAATCAATTTTGCCATAAACAGAACCAAACTTCTTCTGGCACGAATCATAAATTCGCCTTGATATGGGCGATAAATGAATAAATCCAGCTAGGCTTAGTTACTTTTGTCAAAATCAGAGCTTAGCTTTTTTACGCCTGAATGTAAAATTCGCCATAAATTCGGAGAGAGGTTGATGAAACCAGCTTGATTTAATTAGTTTTATCAAAATTAAATCCAAACTTCTTTACACACAAGAACCAAAGATTCGACTTGTTTGAATTCAGTTAAGCTTAGTTCTATGTAATAAATGCATTAGTTTTTGGGGGTTGTTTTAACGAATTAAGCGAAGTGGTTTAATAGGTGTAAAAAATTAAATGTGAATGGTCGGATTGCCAAAGGGGAGATGGATTTGGATTTATTTGTTAAATTGATTTAATCGATTGTTTTGATAGCTAATCATTGTAGCAAATAAATTACAATGTTTTAATACTCATTATTCGCAAATAAGGTGGAGACTGCCTCCGTGATCAATCATCTATACTCCTAATTGTCTTGTCTGTCAGTCTTCGGACTAATCAGTGACAACGCACTGGTGCTGTTCACTACTTTTAATGTTCAAGGAAGCTCATCGTAAACTCAAAAGGGGAAAGTGCTGAAGAAACACTCCGGTGCGTCATGACCAACAAAGCGCTAGTTTCTGCATAAAATAATATCGAATCTCATCTCCTTCCTTTCTTCAAAGAAGGAATTGGATATTCAGCGAAGAAAAAGAGACTAAAACTGGTGCAAAATAATTTTATAATTGTTTTGAAGAGTATTGCAGTTAAACCTTTTCCCCCCTTAGAAGTGCGTATGAACATTGGAATGAGCAGCAGTAGGCCTAGGCGCGATGGTAGAAGGAATCGTGGAGTTGGCCAAAGATATTAGGATCGAAATTTTTTGCATGCCCTGCGTCTGCTGAGCTTAGATGTATGTTGAGAAAAGGACGAACACATTGTCATTGCTGCTGGCGCCTAAAGCCCACACTGTCTTCTCGAGAACGCAGATCCCCGTCCACTCTGCAAACCAATATTAGTAAAGTGGCAAGAAGGCAGTATCAACATAAAATTTTGCTTAAAACACACAGAAGTACTGTCTCCTATTGACTGGATTGCCAGCGTCATTAAATAGGAGAACATCTCTGTTCTACTATCACCTTTTTTGTTTCGACTATCCACCATAAGCCAAGAACGTCAGCCGACACATTTAAATTTGGTTGGAGTCACACTTGATACCAACGTTGATAATTACACAAGGGACGTCATTAGAGCTATATGTGAATGTCTGCAGTCGACTCCTGAGACTGTTTGCATCTATGAGCCTCAGTGATACGCAAATTGTGTGCTGCAGTCGGTATCTTTTCAGGTGATAGAAATGCAGATGAATGATACAGATTTGGGAAGGTGGCCACCCTAATCATGAGTTATTAAATAGTGTGCTTGCGTTGAAATTAAAGAATGGGCTATAGATTTTTGATGAAGTGGACCCTGTGGGCATGCTATAGGTTTCCATTAGGTCCTGGAACAAAAAACTTGGCTTTGGTCGTTCCCCTTCCTAGATTGATATGATCATGACACTGATGATTGGACGTACTTTAAATGGCATGTTTTAAATATGTCCCAAATTAAATGGTTAAAGTGTAGTGACCTAATATTTTGTTTAGAATCATGCTTATTTGTGCAGAAATTTCCAATTTTGCTCATTAGTATAGCTCTCCTCGTCATATTCCAGTAACCCTTCTCCGCAAGGAAATCTTACTCCAGTCACACATAAACGCAGTAAAGCCAGAGCAACTCCTGACTTTTCTTCGTTGCAAACATGACCAGCTTGTTTGGAAGCTAGTATCTATGCTGGGTCATTTTTCGAGCTTTATATTAAAAGCGAACAGTTATCCACTTCGTGACCTCCTTCCTAGATCTGCTAAAGGTTGTAGGCACTTTGCCTACACCTCATCGGAGTCCCTACTTGTTCAAATCAATAGAAGAATTTGCCATCAAGTAGCTAATCTTCCTTTTTGATGACTAGTTAAACTAAAGTGGTGCAGCTTTCGTACAACTTAGTGTTTGTGGTTGCCTCAACCGCTAGGGTGGCCCAGAATGAATACATGGGAAGATCCTATTGGAACTTCTTTTGTGAGAATCTGCCAGTTTACGTCAACCACGTGAATAAAGAAGCGTCTTTAAAACCGAAGGAATAAATAGGCGCTGATCCCTTTGAGGCTTGGTAATCTCAAACCTTATATCACTCTGCCATACATACTTCACAGTCTAGTGGTGCCAAGCTGAAATGAATAAATAAAGTGAATGACTTCATGGTCACAAATTTACAAATAGGTATCAAATCGAAATAACAACCAAGATTAACTACATTTAGATCAGACTAGATTTCTGCACCCACCACAGAATGAGTGAATTATTTTTAA